GTGGGAAGCGGGTTTGCGGTGAACAGGGATTGCATGAGGCCACCCACCAGGCATAGCAGGTGTGACTGGGTTGGTGTGCCTTGATTGGGAAACACCGGAAATTTGATGGTCTTGCGTGCAAGGGCACTTGGTTTCCACGTTTGGAATGGAGGTCCGGGGGTAGTTCGATGGAGAAATTTTGACTGCAGTTCAGACGGTTTAGTCATGCCATGGCTTTCCTTTCGTTCTGTGATACGAGGGTCGTTCTCCGCGAGAAGAATTCAGTCTTCACTCGTGGAACGGTCTGTGGGAGAAATTTTGAAAAGGTCATGGAATTCAGATGGCAATTGGGATTGTTTTCCTAGTACATCACGAGTGATGGCCACAAAGCATAGACATCAGTCAGAAGAGAAAAAACGGTGTTTCAAGTTCAATTGCTACGAATCGAGCCCAACTAATTACAATTACCCTTTGCGATACCAAGGGAGTGCCTATAAGCGAAGACCTAAACCTCTATGCAATGCACTCATGTAAAGTCATAGCCTACTAAGTAGCAAGCTTAATTGAAAAAGATGACATTTACAAGAAGAAAGCAGCGAAAGCACCAACACCAGCAACGAAACCACCGACGTTGAGAGCAGAGGCGGCACCGGTGAACTCAGGAGGAGAGGAAGGCTTGACGTAGCCACCGGTCTTGGTGGGGTATCCAGTGCCAGCAGCAGGGGGGACACCGGTACCGGCAGGGACAGATGGGTAGGGAGCACCACCAACTGGCTTAGATGGGTAAGGAGCAGCAGGGACGGAAGGCTTGCCAGGAACGTAGGGAGAAGGAGGAACACCAGTACCGGTGGGGTAGGGAACGGTGACGGTGATGGTGGTGGAGCTCAGGCAAGAGGTGGTGTCAGGGCTGGGGACCTTGGGAGTCTCAGCGGGGTAGACGGGGTGGCTCTCCTGGGGGACAGGGACCTTGGGGGTCTCGGCAGGGTAAGTAGGAGGCTGGCTGGGGACCTTGGGGGTCTCAGCGGGGTAGACGGGGTGGCTCTCCTGGGGGACAGGGACCTTGGGGGTCTCAGCAGGGTAGGTAGGAGGCTTGGAGGGAGTCTCCATGGGGTGGGTAGGAGGCTTGGAAGGAGTCTCCATGGGGTAGGTAGGAGGCTTGGAGGGAGTCTCGACCGGGTAGGTAGGAGGCATGCTGGGGGTCTCAGCCGGGTAGGTGGGAGGCATGCTGGGAGTCTCAGCCGGGTAGGTAGGAGGCTTGCTGGGAGTCTCGACCGGGTAGGCGGGGACCGAGGTAGCAGGGTGAGGAACCTCAGTGGAGCAAGGCTCGGATGAGGGAGCAGGACCCGGGACCTCGGGGTAGGCCGGGTAGGCGTTGTAGCTGGGCGCAGCGGCGGCAAGGCCGGCGAAGGCAGCGATGGCAATGGTGTAACGCATTTTGATTGTTGGGTATTAGAACTTGAAAGGTAAAAGGTGAAGTGGTTGGTGGGAGAGGTTGGAAGAGAGTTGGCGAGATTGAATTATTAAGGATAGTATTAGGTTGAGGACAACGAATGGACGACTCGAAGGTCAGGGACTTGATGCTCGAAAGTTGGCTGTGAAGTGGAGAAGAAAAGTTGAAAGGCGAGCACTTCGTCAGCTTATGTAGCAAAAGGAGATTGCAAGCGTCGTAGCGCGGGCCGGAAACATGTGGCCACTGAAAGGGGGGTGGACAGGACAGGCGACAGGGGCGGAGACGTCGAGGCCATGCAAGTGGTCCAGCGGGTGTCAGGACTAATGCAGGTCCCAAGTGGCCCCCCGGCGCTCGGCTGGCCAGTGGCAGGGCGGGCGTGCCTGATGCTAAGACGACATGGGCAGGTTGCCTGCTAATAGCGGCCGTGGCTCTCGTGTTGGCTAAATGAACCGGCGTCGAGGCGCCCTGAAGCGGGAGACGAGGCGTCAATTCGCACCCGCTGGCACCCATTCGAGTCGTGCGCTGGCCGGCGATCGCAGCAGGGAATGCTCAGCTTGCTCAGGAGAAACGTCTTATCGGGCTGCCCGTTGAGCGCAACCCCTCCACTGCAACTACGATACGGCACTGGCACTGGTATCACTATCCCGAAATAGTCTGCACGGCCAAGTGTCAGCGTTGCAGAGTCTGCAGGGCGTGTCAGCGATCTTCTTTTTGTTTGCAAACACTTTTCCCGCCGCGCCCTCGTAGCGGTGGACCGCGTCGTCAGCTCCTCTGGTCGTGCGCTGCACACACCCACATGGTATATACCCACACACGTCTCACCTGTTGCTGGCGGCGATGCACTCTCCTCAGACGTGCAGCTGTGGGCGTGTGGGCATGTGTGCACATGCATATGGATGGGGTGGAGCAGGCAGACGGCGTTGCATTGGCTTCAATGTGCACGGACGGAACTGCTTCGCCGCCTTGCCAAGCCAGTGGAAATTAAGCCTTGGGGCGTCACCGCGTTTGGCCTAGTGCGCTTGCTCCCTCGCCTGTTCGGGTCTTACTGTGTTACCGTCTCCCTCGCTGCTCCCAGCTCATCTCGGCCTCACCTTTTTCTCAACAAGGCCCAGACCACTAAAAACCCTCGCGATGTCGTCGCCGGCTGTCGTCATCGTTCCCACTGCTCGTTGCTCAGTGGCACTCTCGTTCCCTTGGCCTGGCTGGACACACCCCAACCGACGACGTTTGTTGTCGGCTCCCTGACCGCCTCGGATGCTCTCACAACACGTGCCCCACGCCTGCATTCAGCCAGAAGACTCACCATGCTCAAAGTTAAAAATATCCCGGTTGGCCATCGGCAATAGCATCTGTGTCCGCACCCCTGCTCGTTGCATTCCACCCGTCACCTAATCAATGTCGATCGTACGGTTCTCCATGCCAACAGTCTGCCGTTTTGGACCTGTCATGGCACCCATCCCGGTCCTCCTTTCCAGCCGAAATCAAGCGGTCAGATGATTCACGAATGTCCAATTGCGCCACTCTTCTCTATAGGTCACATCCACATAGTGATTGGTCTTTGATTATTATTATTATTATTATCATATATGTTCATGCTGCTCCTTGAACAGTGACAAATACTCGATGCGTTTCCCTCGTAGCCAGCCCGTCGGCTCTTCTTACTCGACGTACTTGATTGCAATCTGCGATAGGCTATCGATAACACTATCAGCAACTAGCTTGTCCTCTAGCACCATCTTGATAATCGTAGCACCCCTCAGATCCTCCACCCAACCAGTGCTCACCTTGGCACTAGCATTTGTGAACACCACACTCCCAAAGTCTGCCAGCGGCAAACGCCCTCCAGCGGAAAAGTCCTCGATAATCCATTCTGCATTGCCGTCGGCCAAGAAAGAGTCTGGAGGCGCTGTCACATCCATGCTGATATTGTTGCTAGTGTTGACGTTGATCAATCGAACATTCCCCGTGGTCACTGATGTAGTCACTATATCCACTTGGATCACATCCCCACCTGTAACGTTGAAATTGTCCAAGCAAGACGTCTCGTAGCTGAACCCCTCGTACCATGCCGTGTATGATACCTTGCCGGATCTTTCAACAGCCCAGTTCACACCACCCTGTAGCTGGGACTCAAAGTTAGAGTCACTGATACCCACCCATGCGGACGCCCATTCTGTGTCGTTCGAGGCGCCAGTGTGCTTGGGTATCTAAATCGTAAAACGCCCCGTAACAGACGCAAAGTCACCCGCACAAAGCTTTTTGGAGAGCATGGCACCCGCCCAGTTGTCTCAAGTTACTACCTGGTGTGCATTCTCTGTATACCTAGCGATGGATCTGCACCGCATCCTCAAGGCTGTGCTGTCTTGGATGGGGGGCTGTGACAGGTACTGATGGTTTCCATAGACCCGGGTGCCTACTTTCGGACAAAGATTCGTAGTTCTAGAGGAAACAACAGTGATCATCCATGTGTATAGGAAAAGGAAAAAACTCAGTGTTTGCATGAGGGGTATGGTTCCTTGATAAGGTTTCGATGGTGGCTCCCAAAAAACACTTAGCCGAAGGGGATTGGTGTTGCATTTGCATTTGTGGTGTTGTGCACAATCAATTCGTGGATAACGCAAGAACGGCGTATCGCTAGAGATGTGTGATAGTACTTCAGTTGTTTACTACTAGGACAGCGAGGAACCAGTGCCCATCAGTCAACATCCATCCTACACGTTTCCAGGACTGTCAGACTTCGAGTATATTTCTTTTGCTCTCTGGAGCCAGTTGCTTTGCACATCGGCAACAATCACACAGACCCTTCGGAGAAGCTACGACCGGCACTTGCACAAACAAACTCGGAACCGTGCGGAAAGAACAGTGCGCAATGAGCGGGAGGCCCCTCCTGAAGCGTCCTTGATCAACAGGGGCTGCCCCACACTTGCCTTGTACGTCTCACACACCCATTGACATTTGATTTTTGTCTTACCCAACAGCTCGCCTCACAACACAAGCAAATTCTCTCTTCCATATCTGAAGCCCTACTCCCTCCCTACGCTTCTCCGCTGACATCATGTTTGACACAGCTAACTGACGCTACAGGCATCACCGAAGTTTCGCTGACCAAACGATCATCGCCTACCTTGAAACAACGACTTCGTACCTCCACCAACATTACGTTGCATTCAACATGCGCTTAGAACGTGTAGTGTCAGTCCGTCGAGATTTCATGTTTCCAAATACTCACACTGGACGTATTGGAATCTCACTCGGCCCTTGTTGATGTCATCTGAGTATGGCGATGACCGGGCGCATCCACCTTTTATTATTACTATCTACATGAACGAGTGCGTAATGCCAGGGGTTCCCAAGAGCTATCCACGGATCACTCGCCAAAAGCATTCCCCTGAGTTCAGATTCCGATGACGTCATTGGCATTCCAGCTTAGAGAATCGCACCCAGGAATACCTTTCATAATCCATGGGCAAGCAAGGCTCCAGGTATGGGTGCACCATTCCGGGATACCCTACCATCAAGTGGATACCCGGAGATCTTCCAAACATCTCCATTGATCATGCTCTGTGCCAATGGCCAGTCGCACAACCCAATTGACATTCGAGGCTCGACCTTGCGCACCCAGCGTACCGATTCAACTAAAATAAGCCCTGAAAAAAGATTGCGATTGGCAAGCCTGGGATCCATTACAGACTTTGAGAAGCGCCCTGTGACATAATGAGCCTCCATTTTCCAGCTCTTTTCTTTCTTTTGCTATGACTTGATTCCAAGTCATCCTGGATGCAGTGAAGCCCCTGGACCGATCTTCTTCTCTATCTGTCTGGCCGCGTGTTCTTTCCAGGGTCCCTACAATACCATTTTGAGATCTCCCTTACTCACTAGTTGGAAGGACGTCCTATCAGAAGCAAGTTTTGACCGTATGGAATGGTTCTGCTGACATCAGCAGCTCCACGCAGAAGTCCAATGGAACCTAATGATTGACATGGGCATTACCACTTAACAAGGATACGACGCATTCTATATGGGAACCGGGAAAATAGCCCTCCATATTTTTTTTCTTCAGGATGCAGTATCCATAGCCTGGTGCCGGTTCCCGTCTCCTTTCTGCCATCTCTGTAAATCCACGTCTGGTCATTTCCAAGGATCCCCGCCTATATGACGCGCGGCCGCGGCATGCCGGATGAAATGAGAAAAAAACCAGATTAGCCAGAATCTTACAGTCGCTATGTATGTCTTTGGGTTTGAGGAGAGCTTTGCTCGAGGTTACAACTGTTAATCGGAAACACCTTTCACACAGTGAATATGTGACCTTATGAACAAAAGCACACCATACCAGACGTTTTTTCATCCCTACACTACAACTGCTGTTGTTCGTAGACGCAAAACACTTGTTTCGAAACTGTACCAGAGGATTTTCGTATCATCTTCCCGGGTATCTTCATGCAACATGGAAACTCACACGTCCACGCTCTAAGGAATACCAATAAACACCAACAGCACAGAGACATGGTTGAGCTTTGTAGATTCTGCAACTGACAGCTTCCTTACGTTACCCCATACAACATCCCAAACGAGATAGCCAGCGAGAGAGAAAAAACATGTGCCAATCCGTCCGCTGCTACAGCTCCGTCGCCAATGGTAAACGAAACCGTTCAAGTGCTTGATCAGATGCCCTCACAATCGGACTTGGTATATGAGACTGACATGTATCGGAGTCCGTCATCAAACCCCACACCAGTAGATAGTAAGATAAGAAAAAAAAGAAGAGCACAAAGACGTCATATGGAAACAAAAGCATTTCATATCCCAACTGTTCCATATACACATAACCCAACTCTCCCTCTTACTTCGATACATATATAGTTACATACATGCATATATTCCCATGGGCCCCCCTCATCCCGCCAAAAAGAAAAAGAAAAACAGGAAGGGGGGGCTAAAACTCTCCAACGCGACCCAAAATGCCCTCTCAAAACGCCATGCTAATACGCACATACGCGAACACGCACACGCATACATCGGTAACTCTCCTCTCACTCTCTCCTTCCGCTCGGGATAAAGAGCCAAGTTTGAAAAGCAAAAAGAAAAAAAGAAGAATCCGACGCAACCGGGCTTGCATCTGCCCTGTCCATCAGTCCGCCCGCCCAGCCTTACGTCATACAATCAATAAGACGTCAGAGAGAAGAAAATAAAATAAAAGAAGAAAATACCGTTGAAACGCCCTCCCCCCATTCCTGTGACAAAACAAGAAAGAGAGTTTGCTTCAACACTCAAACATTGCCTGTCTACAGGTTCTTATCGCCGGTTGTTTCTTTCAAACCTAAGCTTTCATCTTGCCCAGGAATCCGTCAAGGTCAAACTCTTCATCGTACTGCTTCTCATCCCAGAGATCACCCAATTCGTCTAAGAAGCCCTTTTTACCCTTTTCTCTCAACGCACCTGTGGCATCGACGGCGTCGTTTTCATCGATGCCAGTGCCGTCGTCCTTGGCATTTGAAGGCGGTGCAGGTAGAGCAGAAGGATCGTTTGAATCAGCAGACACGTTGAAGAGATCAAGGATCTGATCCGTTTGCATCGATTGCAGACCGGCGTTTTGTTGGTTGACAACCGTCGAGGCAACGTCGATTTTGAATCGTTGGAGGCTGTTCACGAGGGTTAGCGTTTGTGAACATGTTATGTAGTTAGGAAAAGGTGAATACGTACTTTAGGATCTTCTCCTCCAGGGTACCGCGTGTAACAATGCGGTAGACGTTGACTACCTTCTTTTGACCAATACGATGCGCGCGGTCCATGGCTTGGATATCCTTTTGCGGGTTCCAGTCGTGCTCGACGAAGATGACGGTGTCAGCACCAGTCAGATTGAGACCGAGACCACCAACACTAGTGGTAAGAAGCAAGACGTCGTAAGACGGATCTGTGTTGAACTTGTTGACAATCTCTTGTCGCTTGGTGGCTTCAACACCACCGTCCAGACGCATGAACTGAACAGATGGCAGCAACTTCTCGAGCACATTGTGCTGCACCATGTCCAGCATCTCCTTCATCTGGCAAAAGACGAGGGCGCGATGCTGGGAGACAGCTTCGGGTAAGTCGCCGTTCGCATTCGCCGACTTGTCGCTGACAACGTCTGATGCTCCAATACCACAATCGACAAGCAGATCCTTGAGAGCCCCGAGCTTGGGTGCGTGCACAATATCATCAATCGTAGTGTTGTGCTTTTTGAGGTACTGTTGAGTTGACTCGTACGCCCTGTTGGTAGGGCCCTTGACAACAAGCGAAGGCGAGTTGCAAAGTTTCTTCATGTACTGCAAAGCCTGGAAGATGTGTTGCTTGCTCTCACGATCGGCATTGCCAGCCTTGGACTGGATTTCCTTGCCTTGACGCTTGGTAAAGTCGTCAAAGAGGTTGCGCTGCAGCTCGGAAAGATCACAGTAGTAGTTCTGTAGAATCTTGGGTGGTAGATCATCCAGAACCTCTTCCTTGAGACGACGAAGGAGGAAGGGCAGCACTTGCTTGTGAAGAGCCTCAATGGCCAAAGCACCCCGTTCTTGCTCCTTTGACGAACTCTTAGCAAACCGAGATGCAGCAATGGGCTTGGCGAAACGCTCTTGGAAGACCTTTTCGGTACCAAGGAAACCTGGCATGAGGAAGTCGAACAAAGACCAAAGCTCAAGAACGTTGTTCTGAATTGGCGTTCCGGAGAGGATGAGGCGGTGATTCGACTGGAACTGCTTGACAGCCTGGCTTGTCTTTGACTTTGAATTCTTGATCAGGTGTCCCTCGTCTAGGACGCAGTAGTTCCAGTTGATGGGCTTGAGGATATCGGCGTCGTTGCGGCAAATGTCGTAGGAAGTAATGACAATGTCTACCTTGTCAAGGTCGTTCCTATACTGATTTCGGATTGGCGGAGAGCCTACGTAAGCGACGCAGCTGAGGAAAGGCGCATATTGGCGAATCTCCTGCTGCCAGTGACCAGACAGGGTGGGTGGGCACACGATGAGAGACGGTAGGCGACGGAAGTTTGGATCCCCAGATTTGGCAAACTCGTCAGCACGCATGTGATGGTCACTAGCCACCATGCAAAGAGTTTGCAGAGTTTTACCAAGACCCATATCATCACAGAGGATGCCGTGGAGGTTATACCGATTAAGGAATGCCAACCAGTTGACACCATCTTGTTGGTAGGAACGGAGCGTTGCCTTGATGCCGACAGGAATCTCAAAAGGCTCCACCTTCTTGGCGTCGAGCATTTGAGCAACAAACTTGCGCTCTCGGTCTCGGCCTTTGAGCAGGGAGTCTGGAAGACCTGGTGGATCGGGAATACCCGACTCGAGTGGTACGAGTTTGACCAGTGTAGCGAAGCTGGTTGTGGCGAGTAATCGGACGTCGTTGTCTGAATCACTCATTCGTCCAAGGACAGGAGTGATGAGGAAGATGACATATGGCAGGATTGCATCGTCCATCACGTGAATGAGGTGGTAGATGCACTCAATTGCTCCCTGGCGAGCATGCACGTTACCACCATCACTAATGGTTGGTAGCACACTCTCGACAAGCATTGTAATACCCTCAACAGACATGACGCTGCAAATGGTCGCAAAGCACTTAGCAGCTGCGTACCGCAATACGTACAGCTTGCTCTGTAAAGCTCTAGCAATGAGTGGAAGGAGTTCCTTGACAAAACTTCTCACGCTTGGATGCAGCTTGCCTACCAGAGCGCGTAAAGTCGACAGTCCATCGACAACTTCTTGTCCAAAGACACCGTCTTCATTGAAGATTTGCGGGGGCAGCGACGCTTCGGTGAATGCCTCCTTGATCGGCCGCGCAATCAGGTCCTTCAGAATGGGCACCTTTTCGAAAACCTCGGCACCGAAACGTTCAACAACCTGTTCCAGGCCCTCGCGTGCACCACGCTTGGTGATTCTCGCAGCCCGTGACTCCTCTGCGAATCGAGCAGCGTCTGGATGGTCACGCACGTCTTCGTCTTTCTTAAGCGTCAGGATACCGGTTTCAATGTGCGATTGCCCAGCGAATTCGGGAGTTTCTGCCGTCTCCATGCA